GGTTAGGGACTGGCTTGGTTGTGGAATCAGGAACGGAGAGGGGTTCTGGAGTCCGAGGTCACAAGGCACTGGGGCGGGTCAGAGGTCAGGAAGATGCTGGGTCCAGCCTCACCTGCACGATGATCTCCAGCGTGTCCAGAACTACCAGGCTCACCTCGGTGGCCAGGTTCCCTTCCACCAAGGCCTCCTGTTCCATTTCATCCTTGGTCCTGAAGGAGAGAGGAGGGGGTCGGGGAGCCTCTGGAAGCCAGACCCTACCCTACGGCCCAGCTCACCGCCTCCCTCAGGCGCCTGCGGTGCCAGTTCTCTGGAAACTGGTCTACTTCTGGCCAACACCTACTTGTCCACACGGTCCGAGGTCTGCTTCCAGTGTGTGACGCTCTTCCGCCAGCGTACGTTCTCCTGGTTCCCGAACGGGCTCCTCTCTGAGGTGGGCAGGCACATGTTCACAGACGTGCAAAAACATAAGGACACACATGACTGAGAAACACACAGGCACCAAGATACCCAGGTGGGCTAACCTGCGAGGACACGGGTGGTACGGGTGCTTGCCCAGTGGACGCAGTTAGGCCTGAATGACTTGTGAGAACAGATGGGGACACGGATACCCATGTGCACGGGGATGATGCATGGATTTCTGGGAAAAGTGAGTCGGACAGAGAGGTAGGGACGGGCCCACTTGGGGCCCCTCGGACACAGGGTGAGAGCAGCTGGCGTGGACGGGCGTGGGGTACGTCTCCCTCTCACCACGGCTCCGTCGCACCATCTCTTGTCGTGCACCAATGGTGCCCAAGATGGCTTCCTCCAGTCGAGCCTTCATGTCCAGTGACTTCTTGAATGTGAGGCTGTTGATGCGCTCAAAGGCCTTTTTCCCCTGGGAGGTCAAAGAACGGGTTCCAGGCTGACTGCCCTTTCCCATGGGACCTGGGCTCACCCGGTCCCCCTTCTCCTGGCCCTTTCCGACCTCTGGGACCCTGTGCTTAAAGACACAGCTCTCTGCTTTTTCTTCTTCTTCTTCTTTTTTTAAAAATATATTTTATTGATTTTTTACAGAGAGGAGGGGAGAGGGATAGAGAGTTAGGAACATTGATGAGAAACATCAATCAGCCACCTCCTGCACGCTCCCTACTGGGGATGTGCCCGCAACCAAGGTACATGCCCTTGACTGGAATCGAACCTGGGACCCTTCAGTCCGCAGGCTGACGCTCTAGCCACTGAGCCAAACTGGTCAGGGCTCAGAGCCTTTTGAAGACACTGGCATGGACCCTGGGGAGAGACTTGTGGTCAATTCTCCGGGGTTATGAGGGTTAAGGAAGACATAACCCTAGTGACACTGGGGACTATGTCAACTGCCATATGGAGAGATCTGCCTGAGCTTGGAACCCACACAAAGAACTAAGACACGGGAGCGAGAGGGCCAAAGTCCTCATGGTGTTGCGTGGGCCCCCAAATCCAGCCATGACCAAGCGAGTGATTCAGTTGCTAGAGCCAAGAAATTCTCCTCCTGTCTTAAAAATTGCGGTAAAATATATAGAACATGAAATTTACCCTTTTAAGAGTACAATTCAGTGGCATTTCACACTCACATTGTTATGCAACCATCCCCATTATTCTTTTTTTATTTTTATTGACTTCAGAGAGGAAGGGAGAGGGAGAGAGGATGGAAACATCAGTGATGAGAGAGAATTCCCCTGACTGGGAATTGATCTGGTGACCTCTCGGTTCCTGGGTCAACACTCAACCACTGAGCCACACTGGCCAGGCTTCACTTTCTTTTCCAGAACTTTTCCACCATCCAAAACTGAACCTCTGTACTCGTTAAATAACAACTTCCCTTTCTGCCTTCCCCCAAGAAGTGTTCTTTGAGGTTTAAACTGTTCTGAGTTCCATTTGTGTATCGTGTAATCAAAAGAGTCAACATAGTTTACTTTTCAAACAATGAAAACATAATACAAAATATACAATCATCATATATAGCAAGAACTATAAAAATATTCATACTGTTTGGCACAGTCATTTTATTCTGGGGAATATAACCCAAATAACCACTTCACTCATTAAACTTACATTAAACAAAAGCATTCAAGCTATTGATAATGGTGAATTATGAAAACACCAGAGGCCCGATGCATGAAATTCATGCAAGAGTAGGCCTTCCTTCCCCTGGCTGCCGGCACTGGCTTCCCTCTGGTACCCGGGACCTGGGCCTCCCTCGAAACCCTGATTTCCTCCAGAAGGTCATCTGGAAGGATGTCCGGTCTAATTAGCATATTACACTTTTATTATTATAGAAGATGATAGATATACAGCAATATGGGTGACAACTAAGCCAAAACTTTAATGACATAACATGGATCATATAAAACATGAAAATAAATGCTCATCTGTTTCTGTATAGTCTGTGGCCGCTTTCATGCTGCCATAGCAAAGTCTAATTGTTATGACAAACCATATAGCTACAAGCCTAAATCATTTACTATCCGGCCTGTACAGAAAGTCTGCTGAGCCCTGCTATCTAGCAAGGAGAGGGAAAGAACTACAAGTGCGCGCAGCAAATGAATGATTCTATCCCCTGAAAAACAGTATCGCCTAGGTGTGGCCACGGAGAAGGGTTGCAACCCAAGGCATTCAGGGCCTGCGCCCCAGATGGAGGGCATTTATATAAGGGAAGCCGGAAGTTAAGGGAAGGGGAAGTTAGAACCATAGAGCTTTAGTGGAAACATAGAGTTCTTCCTGTAGTGATCTCGCGAGAACTCCCATAAGCTCCAGCTCTTCTCATAGACCCTCCTGACTGGTCATGTTCCCTTCCAGTTAGTCTATCAAATCTCACACACAGATTGTTGGGCAGAAAAGCCAGACACAAATGAGCACACGTGGTTTGATTTCATTTACATAAAGTACAAAAGCAGGCACGACTCTTCTCTGCTGTTAGAAGGCAGGACAGTGGTTCCTGCGTCAGAGGGAGAGAGCTGTCCCCCCACCTGGATTCAATGCATTTAAATGAGAGACTCTGATTGCGTTGTGATAAGCCAATTTATTAAGGCAACTGAAGCATGCACCTTTATTAGAGAAGCAAGGCAAGCAAACCTTTCCATCTGGCTCATGAAGCACGGGCTCTCAGCTAATCTGAAGAGCAGGTGGGGTGGGGGTTCGAGGCGTTATATGGCCTCCTGTCTGCAGGTTTCAGAATTCCTCTGCTGAATATCTTGGCGCAGATGAATTCTCAAGGTCCCTTTTATTTTGTTGTGACCTTCCCAGAATTCATGAGACCCGCCTGGCACCTTTATCTTGTCAAGCCTCGAGACTGCTGGCTTCTCTGCTTTAGGGAGTGAAAACACACACACACACACACACACACACACACACACACACACAGAAATTATCTTTTTTTCCTTTCTCCTTCCCTACAGGGCTGGTTTCTTTGTTCAGTGGCTGAAAAAGACTCCCCTGTCCTCTCACCCACCCCCTTCTTCTCCCCCTTTCCGCCTTCTCTCCGAGAGAGGCTTTTAACCATTTGCTCTCAAGCATCCTTCGTCCTTGGCTAGGAAGATAATGGCTTGTTATTTGAGGACCAGCTGCCAGTTGCCCACACTGTGCGGCCTTGTTTTAACTTTCCTGTCTGCACGTCCCTGTTCCTCCTGCCCTGGGCTTTCCCGGCTCCTTCTCCTGTACCAGCTGTCTGTGCCATGGGGCCCAGGGGGCTTCTGGGTCACGTGCTGGTTGGGGTGCTGGGTGCTCTCGGTGACCACGCACCCAGCTCTGCACGGACCGTATGTGAGCTCGTCACCCATCCTTCCTGCAGAGCGGGGCGCATGGGACGCATGCACCATAATGCCTGCATCCCAAAAGCATGAGAGACCATTACTGAAACTGGAAAAATTTCAAAAACCATCCGCGCTCGATGGAATGTGCTGCCTGAAATGGGCTCCTGGAACAAACAATGGCATTAGCAGAGAGATGGGGGGCATCTGAGGGAAGCCTGTAGCTTAGTGAACAGCAATATACAGACATTGGCTCCTTCATTTGGGCTAATGTACATGACGCAAGATGCTAACATTAGGGGAAGCGGGGTGGGGGTGCCAGAACTCTGTACTGGCTTCGCAACTTTCCTGTAAATCTAAAGTTATTATAAAATTAAAAGTTTTTAAAAAAACTATAGCGCTAGCAGCAGTTCACAAATTTGTGGTCTCAAAACCCCTTTACAGTCTTCAAAATTATTGAGGTCCCCCAAAGAGTTTTGTTACAGTTACCAATCTTGACGGCGTTACAAATTAAAACTGAGGCCCAGCTGGCATGGCTCAGTGGCTGAGCGTTGACCTATGAACCAGGAGGTCAAGGTTCGATTCCCATTCAGGGCACATGCCGGGGATGCAGGCTCAACCCCCCGGAGTGGGGGGTGGTTGCAGGAGGCAGCCGATCCATGATTCTCATCATTGATGTTTCTATCTCTCTCCCTCTCTCTTCCTCTCTGAAATCAATAAAAATATATTTAAAAAACAATACCTGAGCAAATGTTAAAGTATGTATCTGTTAATTCATTTAAAACAAGATAAGAAGCCCATTACACAGTAGCATACATCATATACGTTTATGAAAAATATCTTTTCCAAAACAAACAAACAAACAAAAAAATAACCAGAGAAGCGGCATTGTGTTGCGTTCTCACAAATCTCTCGTGTGTGACTTAATAGAAGCCAGCTGCGCTCACCCAGGGCCCCTCCATCTTTGTGTCAGCAAACACACAGAGCCCTGGGCAACTGCCACTGCGCGTGCGAGCAGGACAAGGAGGAGGCGAGCGATGTCTCAATGCGATTATGAAAGGACTTGCAACCTCAGGGGACCCTGGCACTGCGCTCTGCAGGCATTTATTCTTTTCATTTGGTTCTGTGTGCAGTGAAATGGCTGCAATCAGATCGTGTTCTTTCTGGATGTGAAAAGCAAAGCCAGGTCCCTTGCACAAAGCTCATTAAACATCGCGCCAGGCGGCCAGCAGCTCCAGTTCCAGCTTGTGTCCCTGCATCCCTCCTGCCGCAGAGCCAGGCCCCTGCCTGGTGGCCAAGGGTGCCCTGTTCCGGATGGAAGGCCCTGGTCACCACTCAGGGTCCCAGTGGACGTCCATGCGTGGACTTCACACGCAATGCCAAGAGGTGGACGCTCAGGTCCCGCCTGGGAGGGGAGTGTCGCTGCTGGGGTTTCATTCTATAACTGGACAGTCAGTGGGCCCAGCCGCCTGCCACTACCTGAGCCAACTCAGCAGAGACGGGGTTGGATCCTATGTGAGCGTTTATCCCAATCCTGCCAGCAGCAGGGGGAGCAGCAGGTCACCCACAAAAACCTCTCTGCACCCCCCAATAGGCCAGCTGCTTATATGGGGTAGAAGGACGAAGATTACAGGGGGAGTAGGCAAAGGGCGGGCCAAATGGGCAGCTCACAGGTAATGCGGGCTGGGGGTTTGCAAAGGCCTGCGGGCATGCAAAGGCTGGGGGTGTGCAAAGGGCTCAGTGATGTGCAAAGGCTGGGAGTGTGCAAAGGGCTCAGTGATGTGCAAAGGCTGGGGGTGTGCAAAGGGCTCAGTGATGTGCAAAGGCTGGGGGTGTGCAAAGGGCTCAGTGATGTGCAAAGGCTGGGAGTGTGCAAAGGGCTCAGTGATGTGCAAAGGCTGGGGGTGTGCAAAGGGCTCAGTGATGTGCAAAGGCTGGGAGTGTGCAAAGGGCTCAGTGATGTGCAAAGGCTGGGGGTGTGCAAAGGGCTCAGTGATGTGCAAAGGCTGGGAGTGTGCAAAGGGCTCAGTGATGTGCAAAGGCTGGGGGTGTGCAAAGGGCTCAGTGATGTGCAAAAGGACTGGGGGTGTGCAAAGGGTTGCTAATGTTTCCATGACCATAGGCAGCTCCCGATGGGAGGATGGGCCGCATTTCCAGGTGCTCCCAGGGCCCAGGTGCCCCTCCCTGCCAGGTGAGCATGTGCCCTCTTTCACCAGAACAA